CAAGGGCCACTCAGCCCTCCACCCATGACTTACCTCCCACTCCGTTGGGCTGTGACTTTGCTGTGTGAATTCACAGGCCCCTGTCCCTTTGATAAGCAGACTGATTGAGGGGCATAAGGTGTGGGCCAGATAGGGGGCAAAACTTTGCCAAGGTCACAGATTTCATTTAACTGTCAAAAAATGTAGGGATTTGATTGTGCATGGTGGGCTAAGAGCTTGGATTCTAAAGCTTTGATTTAAGGCCAAGGTAACTCTATGGGACTTTTGGCATGTCTTTCAGCGCTTACATGAAGAATAATGGAAATAACTTATATAGAGTTTAAAGAGCACTAAATGGGTTTACATATGTAAAGAACGTGGAACCTTTGGGGAGGCCACAGAATACTATGAAATACTCGTTTTATAAAGTCTTCAAGCTTTATAAGTAGTTATAAATATTTCTTTATTTTGAAAGTATTCAAGGATACTCAGAATGCTATCTTCTGTTTCCCACTGCCAATTTTCTTGATTCATTTATCTGGTCATTTAATAACAGTCTTGTGTTTTCCTTCTAGATTGAGCTTTTTCTAGTTAGTATCCTACATGAGAGTGTGAGTTTTAGACATGTTCTCACTGCTAGCAACTGTTGTGAAGCGGTCAGTTACATTGTGCATGTGTAGAAAGTGGCATTCTCTTCTGTACAGTGTGCAGTTAGGTCAGGAATTGGCAGTGGCCATTTTAGCTACCAGATTCTGTGAAGGCTTCAGAGAAGACAACAAATTTCACATTCATTGACCTCCCTCGGTGCTATTTTCTCTCTATCTCTGCAGAATGGTAGGTAACAAAGACCCCCTCCAGGATGTTGTGTTGCACCTAAAGGTATCCTGTGAGTGTTTGACTTGTATTTCTTTTTCTTGATCTATAAAGTTTACAACTCCTGAAGTTGCAGTGGCCCTGCTTAGGATGTACCTATATTGCCCTAGCCTCCAAGCTGCTTTCTGGAGCATGTTTGTTCTGCTCACTGATTTGGCCAGGACAACCCCTGTATCTACAGAGCACTACACCGTCCTGTACAAGAAGGGTTTTGGCTTCCCTTTACCTGAGGCTGAAGAGTTAAATTAGTTTTGCAGTATAGTCCCTGAAAACCATGGCTATCACTCATTCTCTTTGTTATACTGGTTTAGAGCCTGCCTGTTGTGGGCTTAACATCCATAAATGTGTTCCAGGGATGATAGTTGTGTTCTTTCTTATCTTGTAGCAAACTTGAATTTGGAGTGACTCAGGAATGCTTCGGTCATAGTCTTAGTAATCTGACCTTGTCTTTGTCGGTGGAGACAGGAATGGTGATGGGAGGGGTTATGCAAGAAGTGGGAATCTAACAGCATCTACTGTCTTTCCTGTGGCCTCCACCATTGAAAGTACAGTGAAGGCATAGTGGTGAGGCCAAAGCAGGAAAACTGAGGAAGACACTCCCTCCTTGCTGGCTTCAAGTGTAAAACATTACATGAAACATTACTGTGTTTGGCATGAGGGCATCCCTTTTCAGTGACAAGGGAGCAGCAGTGCCTGGCTCCTCTCTTTAGATGAGAGTGTCCCCATCCTGTGCCCATGGGAGTTGACAAACAAAAGTGCAGTGGGACAGTCCGTTGGGCCTCTTTCTATATGACACTTGTTCTTTCTCAGCCCCTCAGCTGATCGTGAGATGAATGTGGCCCCCAAGACCATTGAGGCCTGTCAGGACACAGCTGGAGCTACACAAGGAGGCCAGGGAGACCCAGCCATGGCTACTCAACACTCTGCAGATCCCAACACCCCAGAGCTCGAAAGCAGCCCCAGTGCACCCAATCAGCTCATTGAACTTGAGGCCTGTGCTAGCAGGTAAGGTCTTACACTGGCCTTCTGATAACCTGTGGCCAAGGTTTCTCTGAGGACCACAATATAGTTGGGGGCTGCTTCTTGCATTCCAGGCCATTGTGTAGCACATTGGCATAGCCACTGCCTGGGTTCTTCTCTGAAAGTGCTCAGGATATTTATAGCCTAGTCCTCGGGCAATGTTGACAGCTTCCTGGGATTTAAGAAAATGGGAGGGGGCTGTAATCAATGCAAGAAGCCTGGCTATTTCCCAGTGCATGAGGTAGGAGGGAAGTCTGTCTCCCAGCATGTTCATGTGGGGTCCTAAGGATGATGAAGACTATTTTTATTTATACAAGAGTGCTGGCGAAGTATGACAGAGAGTATGAGTTACACAGAATGTGAGGGACGGAAAAATAGAATGAAAAGGAGTAATAAAGTGAAACATAGCGACAGGGTGAGGAAGCTAGAGAAAGAGTGAAGAAGTTTTGGTGTGTCTCTGTCTATGCCTGATGGGTACTGTGACTGTGAGTAGAGGTGACTGTGAAGTATGGGAATATTTTCAAGTCCAAGCTCTTGAGAAGGCTGTTAGCCTGCCATCCCACACCATGTTGTTCCACAACTCTGGGCATGCAGACAGATCAGTACATGCAGAGTGCTTGTGCTGCTTGGTGATTTGTAGGGTACAAACAAAACTATTAGTCATGAGGAGCAAATCAAAGGATTCCTCACATAAGATAGAAATGCTGAAGAGAGTCAAGACTCTTTCTAACCAGGGAGACAGGAAAAGGTACAATTGAACAAGGACACTGATTAAGCAACTTTGTACTTACCATCACATCATGTGGTTTCCTTCAGTGCTTCATGTCTGTGCACTTAGGGCTCTAAAACATGCAGCCTACTATTCATAATAGCCAAGCTGTTGAACCAACATAGTTATCCTGCTACAGACAAGTAGATAAAGAAAATGTGGCCTCTGTGCACAATGGAATTCTTTTTAGCCATAAAAAGTCATGTCACTTGCAGGAAAATGGATGTAATTGGAGATCATCATGTTAAGCCAGTTCCAGAAACACAATAATATTTTCTCTCTTTTATGGTTCCTAGATTTTTTAAGGCATATAAAAGCAATGACATCAAATAGAAATGAAAATGTCTAGAGGAACAAAGGGAATTAGTTGGAGGGGTTATGAAATGGGGGGGTAAGGTGTCTGGGGGAAATGTGCTCAGTATACAAAATGTTTGTTTAAAATTTCTTTATGTAGCACAGTACCAGGTACAATGAAGAGACACCAAAATAATTTTAAGTAAGTTTTTAAAAGTGCAGCCTACAGATGCAGAAGAAAGTTATTGGTTGTGTTTTCCTTTTCTTGGGAGATGGATAGGCAATAGTGGTGTGGCTTTCTCTATAGGAAGAGTGAGGTTGGAGCTGGGTTTGAAGGCTGAGGAGAATTCCCCCCAGTAAATACACTAGAGAAGGCATTCCAGGTTGAGGAAACCAGAGGCCTGGCAAAGGGTAGTTTATATGGTAAATGGAGAGTCAGGGTGACTTCAGGGAATGAAAGCTAATTGGTATCAGGCCAGGAAGATGCACGGTATACAAGGCAGGAGACCTGTACAGAGGTTGTGGCTCAGGCTGAGGGTAAGATGACTTTAATTAAAGGTAATGGTGATGGAAAGGTGATACCTAAGAATGCTCCCAGATTTCTGTTTGGGGTGACAGGGGGGACGCTGGAAGGAGCTATCTGAGGATGAGGAAATTAGAGGAGTTGCTATACAGGTGTGATGTTAAGGTCATTGGGCCATATTGATTTTGAAAAGCCTGTAGGGGATCCAGGTGACAAGTCATCCCAGTAGCCTGGAGCTATATAAAGATATGACCTTTGTGTAGAGTGCTGAGATTGTGAACTTACAGGTAACAAGTGAACGGGGTGGTCAAGAACAAATCTCTGCTTTTTTCCCGAAAAATCCCCATGCCAGTTGTGAGTCTAGCTGTTGATATCAGCTACCTGGGTAAATTCGTGTGGTTCAGGGATGTAAAGCGAGCCTTCCTTTTGGTTCCAAACTTGTAGGCACCCAACCTTCATCAATAGGCATTTATCTCCATTTCTGCTTTCTTTTTTAACTCAAAATGAGAAAAACAGAGGTACTAATGAGTGTCCTCTCTCCTAAAGTCCTAAGCAAGGACATATATGCCCAGAGGTATATCTTCTATGAGATTTTAAACCCCATCAAGTTGGTGGTAGGATTAACCATCACAATGGTAAAAATTAGTAGCAAAACCATGTAGACCAGAAATCTGAAAGTAAATACTGAACGGCCTGGAGAAGGAAGATGATTTGGGTGTGGTACCAAGAAGGAAATGTTTGGATAAATGGAAGAATTAGTAAATATTGAAGTCATGGAACCAAACCAAGGTGGCTGTGATTGTCACTTTGAGACTGCCTTCTTTCTAAGAGTTAAGTGGCAGCTTGGCTCTTGAAATTGGTTCTCCAATACCCTTGGGAAATGACATCCAGACCCTAGAGACTGAGCAAAGGTCAGGCCTCTGTTCCTCTCAGCATAACATATACGATATTCATTCTTTCTCAGTACTCCAGCTGCTTGTGAGGAGAACAATACAACCCCCAAGATCAGTGAGGTCTGGCAGAAGACATCTGAGGCCCCTCGAGGAGGCCGAGGAGACCAAGCTGTGGCTTATCAACAACTTGCAGATCCCAGTACCCCAGAGCCACAGAGCAGCCCCAGCAGCCCTGAGCAGCAAATCAAACTGGATGATACTACCAACAAGTAAGGGCCTGAACTGGCAGCCTGCTGTTCTGATCCAGGTGTCAGGGGCCACAACACAGGACAAACACATGCACCAATGGCACAGGCCTATTTCCTTTTGCAGGCATGAGTGGCTACAAAGCAACAGGAAACAGACCAAACAAGGACTTAAAG